GGCTATTCTCAGTGTTGGGATTATAGGTGTGAGCTACCACACTCAGCTGCTGGCACTCTTGATTGCCCGTATGTATATCTACTCTTTGATTTCCTTTGAACCTGTTATAACGTATTACTGTTTTCCTCATTAATTAATGAGGAAAATAAAATATTTGACATGTGTTCATTTTCTGTTTGTATGAGTCATGGTTTTACTTTTTAAAATATCCTATTTTAACAACTTTTATATTAATATTTATTGCACAAGTTTTCTTAAAAATAATTGATATTTTACTTGCTTTTACATGTGCAACTAAAGGGCTCTTTCCCTTTTCTAGAACTTCTAGCTCTTGAGACCTAATATTATTTGCTGCTGGGAAAGTATAATGTTTCTGGCTTTTACTAGCCTCATCTTAAGCAGCTTAATCCTGGCACCTAGGAATATAATTACCACTGCCTTAGCATTAGAGAGGAGCAAACAACAGCCCCACCTCACCACCCCTAGATTAATTTCTTTCCTTATGAACAAAAAATATCAAAGGGCCCTGCTAACATTTTCTTCTAGAATCTTGGGATTACAGAATTTTGCTACTGGAAACGGCAGAGGATTTTTCTCCTCTCTATGCTCAAAGTCACCAACAATGCCTTTGTGAAAACAAATGTTAATAAAATTAGATGTTGTCTTCTTGTGCCTAGCGTGGTGCCTGGTACATAGTAGGTCTTCAGGAGATGTGAGGCCTCTGCTTTCGTTCCAGCCATACTGTGAAGGGTGAAAAGAGAAGAGACATAAAGAGGCTTCTGGGTTTCCTGCCTGTATCCTGGCATCAAGCTTGTTGGCGGCCGGGCCAGCCTCTCACAAGTGAGTACGGCACGTATGTAGCACACTCCTGATAGCTTTCATGAGCAAAGAAAAATCTTGCTCTTGCCAGAGAGGTAAATGAAAGATTAATGCCAGTTAAATAATATATAATAGTAAGATCATTATCCTGTCTTCTCCCAGTCAGCTGACTTTGTAATGTGTAAACACTTCTGGGGCATACAAAATCAAACTACATAAACTGTTGTAAAGTGGAAGGAACGATGCTGGTCAGTCTGGCAGTGCACAAGAACACAAGAATTGTATTTCATTTCTCTTTTTCGAGTGAGGAGCCAGGCTGACATTCTGGACAATCATGACAAAACAAATTTCCTGTCCAGGTTTAATAGGCAACAATTCAATCTTTATAACTGGTGCCCCCCCCCATTACACACCCCCATGCTCACTTTCTCACAAGCTTCCTCTCTTTCTACCTTTAAGAGCAAAGGCTGGAACATCATTTTGTCTTCAAAGCCATCATCAGCAAATATTGATCATGTTTCATCAAGGTGTGTCCTGGAGAGACAGAAAACCCACATGATTGCCTTTTTCCATTTTTTCTTACTACGTGGTAAGAATGAAACAACAAACTAATATAGAAAAAGCCTTAAAGAGGGAACTTAAGGTGGGGGTCGGGGGAGGTATGGTTTGCAGCACAAAAGTAGAAAAGACATTCAAGTGTGAGCAGTGCACATTTTTGAAATTGCTCTGAATCCACTATTATAGGTTACCTTGTCAGCAGGCTGTATTGATTATTTTTAGGTAATTTATTTGTAGAATTTCTGCTAATGGACACTTCAGGATCATCTTTTGCATTTAATGTATCTAATACCCATTGATCAGGTCATTGGCTTATTGGTTATCTACTTTGCTGCCAAATGATTCTCTATAATTGCTTTCTTCATTACCCATTTTTATTCCAGGAGCAGCTTCTATTGTGTCCCATTACGCTAATGGAAATTATTGATATGGAAATTAGCAGGCACTGAGCTTAAGAATTCTATGATACGCACTCACGTTGCATTTCTTTAAGTTGTAGATGTTCTTGTATAATTAGCAGTAAATATTGACATGGTGAAATTAGTGAATTTAATTCAAAGCAAGAGAACAAGAAGCATCTTTAGAAAGGAAACACCAAATATTTTGCATAGCTATGTATACTTTAGTAAAAATAAATAATGGCAAGTTTGGTGTTTATGTTTAACATTGTTTAGCAACCTGAGTCAAAGACAAGAGTGTTTTTGATTCTTGTTGCTATAAGCATGCTCATTTTCTAGATGGAAAAGTTAGCCTCAGGCTGGCTAATATCTGTGTCGTGTTGTCCAGTATGTTAGTCACTAGCTACATGTGGCTGTTGAACACTTGAAATACAGCCAGTCTAAATTGAGATGTGTTATAATTATAAAAGGCACACCAAATGCTGAAGACTTGGCATGAGAAAAGGAATGTATAATATCTCATTAATTTTTTAATTGATTATAGGTTGAAATGATAATATTTTGAAGTCAATCATAAAATGTTATTGAAATTCATTTCACTCTCTTTCTTTTTCCTTATATTAGTGTGACTACTAGAAAAAATATATGATATATGTTGTTCACATAACAGTTCTGTTGGACAGCACTGGTCTAGCACAAGTCCTAAGTGGGTAGAGTCTAGCACTTCACTGTGCCATATGGTCGCAAGTAGTCTCATGTGATAATTATATGTAAATGTAAATGATTTAAAGATAATACTTCTAAAATTCAGTTCCTCGGTTGTGCTGGTCACATTTCAAGTGCTATTGCTCTATGTGGCTGGGAGCTACCAGGCTGGATGACACAGACAGAGAAGCCTTATAGCATCCCAGAACGTTGCATTGAAAAATGCTGGTCGAGCTCAGGAGTTCGAGACCAGCCTGGCCAACATGGTGAAACCCTGTTTCTACAGAAAATATAAAACTTAGCTGGGTGTGGTGGCATGCACCTGGAATCCCTGCTACTCGGGAGGCTGAAGTAGAAGAATCACTTGAACCCAGGAGGTAGAGATTGTAGTAAGCCAAGATCACACCACTGCACTCCAGCCTGGGAGGCAGAGCAAGATTCCGTCCCAAAATGAAAGAAAGAAAGAAAGAAAGAAAGAAAGAAAGAAAGAAAGAAAGAAAGAAA